CACAGAAGTCAGGAGGTTTTCAGTTGGATTTCTCAACCACAGGTCACTGGCCTGGAGCCCATCCAGCTGGTAAGACCACATGATGCAACAGGATTTCAGGAAGCCCTCCGGAAATGGGCTTCCGGGTCAGCAGGTGGGATGTGGATCGAGGCACACCCTGTAGCTGTAAGCTCCGGAGGCAGAACCTCTTCGCTGGGCTTCGCCTGTCCACCCTCAGAAGAGGGAGAAGATGGCCCTTTCTGTATCCCCTGCCCCTCCACCTCACACCTTACCTTAGCCAGGACCAGACCTGGACCCTCACCGCAGCTGGCCTCTGGCAAAGGTCTTGAAGCCGATGAAAATAGAAACCTGTGGACGTAATTGTGAAATGCAAACACCATTATCTTTCACTGCGCAGGAAGGAGTGAAATAAACAAGGGACACCTCTTCCAGCTGGGTTGCAGTTAGCATTGGGCCTGTGAACAGGGTGCTAATGAACTTGAAGAGTCCCATTTGGTGGCCCCAGATCCATAGTGTCCCAGGAGTCACCCAGGGCTGAGCAGCCACTAGAAATAGTGCCACATGCCTGTGTAATTCTAACTTTTCTATTTGCTGTATTTAAAAGAGTAAAAAGAAACAGATGAGATTGTTACCAACCTTAGTCATTGAACTCACTGTATCTCAAATAGTACCATTTTTCGTTTCACATGTAACCAGGATAGAAAAATTGTTCACCAGATATTTTACAGTATTTTTTTCCTCGTAAGGCTGTCAAAATCCAGTGTGTATTTTACTCGTAGGGCACATATACGAATTCAGATTGGCCACATTTTAAGTGCTCAATAGCAACGTGGGATCAGTAGTTGCTGTATTGGACTAATCTAGCTTATAGATGGGGAAGCAGGCCGCCAGGTTGAGGGGGCGTGGCAGGGGCGGGGTCTCCCGCTCAAGTCCTGGGCGTCTGCCCCCACTGCTCCCTCTAGCGTCGGCCTAGCCACACTGCAGCCTGAGCCTCCCAGGTTGCTGCTCCCTGCACCTGGCCCTGGGACAGGACAGACCGCTCCCTGGAGCAGCTGTGCTAGAAGCCCAGGCTGCAGGCGGCTCGCCTCTCACCTGCTTACTTGGAGGAAAGAAGGACACAAATGTAGTCAATCCTTCTCTCTCTAGGACAGGGCTCAGCCCCTGGAGGAGCATTTGTCCATGGGAACCATTTCTGTTGGGAAAGGGGAGTGGGGCTTTGTCTTTGCAGAAAAGCTTGCTTTTTGTCAGTTTTCTCCCCAGCCAGCCAGTCTTCGGCGCGGTATCCCACTGTCCCCATTCCTTCGGCTGAGAGCCCAGGAGACAGCTAAAACGAGGCTCTTCTTCTGCTTTTCTTTCCTAAATGTAGAATTTATTTCAAGAGGTTCTTCTCATTGACTGCTTCAGCGGAGTCTTTGGCAGGTGCACGCAGGTCGGCTCAGTGAGTGACTGGGGTGCCTGTGGGCTGTACCTGGGGCTCATGGGCTCCACTCGTAGCTCCGTGGAAGTCGCAGTGGGGAGGCCAGCTTGAGGACCTGTCCTGGCGAACAGGTTTAACGGCGAGGGAGCAAGGTGGACGGCCGCTGGGAGCACCATGGTGCCTTCCACGCTGCCCAAGGACCTGGCCCCAAAAGGGCCCGGGAAAGGTCGCAGCCCACCTGTCGCCAAGGGGCACATGCCCCAGAATGGCCTCAGTTGTTGTCTCTATGAGGATATGGCATTGCCTCCTCCCCACCTGGCTAAGTGGGACCCTGCTGCGCCAGTGCCTGGAATCTGCCATGTGTGCCCTAGAGGTGGCCCGTGGGGGTCAAACCTCCAGTGGCCTTTTAAAGTCCTCTCATTCAGTCTGGTTCCACATGCCGGCGTCCTGGGCAAACCGCCTGGGCCCCCTGGGAGTGAGTGATTCCTCTTTGGAGCAGCCCCTTTGTGTCACTTTTTGCCTCCATCTGAACACACCTGTGCCATAAGCAGCCCGGCGCCCTGAGAGCCGGGACCGGCATCCCCAGCCCCTCAGAGGCTGTGGACTGGCACCAGACCCTGAGGACATGCCCAGGGGAGCGTGGCCCGCACTTCTGGGCTCAGGCTTTTGGGGAGCAGAGAGTCGGCTGGTGGACACATGTGCACAAGCGTCTGCACACAACTAAATGACACAGGTCACGGCACAGAGTGTGACGAAGGATTTCAGACGGCGTGTTTTCGATTCTTTGAGGGAAGGCCGTGCCACCTTTCTGGACGCTGTTGCTTCTCAGTTGGGTCCCCTTGTGATGAGCGGCTCCCCCACCTCATATAGGGACACAGGAATCTTCACCCTGGGACCTCCAGACCCAGAGAACTAGACTGTCAGACCAGGCTGGGGCCTGAAGAAGACAATAGTCCTGCAGGGAGGTCCCCTCACGCTGCCCCACCCGCCCAGGAACACACACACACCCTTTTTAACTGTGCAGAAATGCACATGGCCTACAGTTTGCCATCTTAGCCACGTGTGCAGTGCCGTCGTGCTAAACACATTCACACAGTTGTGCAGCCGATCTCCAGAACGCTTGCCATCTGAATGCAGCTGTGCCCGGGGAGGTTCTGCATACATAAGCCCCTGCTCTGGGTTGTCTCCTGGTACTCCAGTGGGCGTCGGCTCCTTGCAGCTGTCTTGGACTTTCTATAATAGAATTAATGTCACTGACTTTAAAAGCATTATGCTCTTTGGTCCTTTAATTCAGCTACTGGGCGTGGTCAAGATAGCAAACAGCCCGGCTGGTGTGGCTCAGTGGTTGAGCACTGACCCTGCACCAGGAGGTCGCCAGTTCGATTCCCGGTCAGGACACATGCCCAGGTTGTGGGCCCGATCCTCAGTGGGGGGCATGCAGGAGGCAGCCAGATGATATTCTCTCTCATTGATGTTTCTATCTCCCTCCCTCCCTCCCTTTCTCTCTCTATAAAATCAATAAAGAAAAAAAAATTTTTTTTTTAAGGAAAAGAATCCAGCTGGTGTGGCTCAGCAGTTAAGTGTCAACCCATGCACCAAGAGGTCACCGGTTCGATTCCTGGTCAGGGCACATGCCCAGGTTGTGGGCCCGATCCCCATTGGGGGGCATGCAGGAGGTGACCAATCGCATCGATATTTCTATGTCTCTCTCCTCACTTTCTCTTTCTCTAAAATCAATAAAGGGGGAAAACATTAAAAAAAGAAAAAGATAGCAAACAGGCAGGGGTGGGTGAGCAGCGGGGTCTGCATGTGGGAGACTAGAAAGTCAGCAACATGGTCCTGTACCTTCATTCTCAAAGATGTGGTCCCCAGCAGCCATGATTTTACTAATTCAATGTTCAAGACAATGGCAGGAAAACATGTTTTTTCCATTCATAATTTTTTTTAATCCTCACCCGAGGATATGTTTTTATTGATTTTAGAGGGAGAGAAAGGAGGAAGAGAGAGAAACATCCATTGGTTGCCTCCCTCACACACCCTGACCAGGGATAAAACCTACGACCTAGGTGTGTGCCCTCGAGAGTGAACCCGCAATCTTTTGGTATATGGACGACATTCTAACCCACTGAACCACCCGGCCAGGCTCCATCCATAATTTCTTGATAGTTTTTCTCCAAAATAAAATTTATCTTTTTTGTTTCCTGGACACATCACTCAGTGTCTCCCAGCCTTTCTCTGTTACAGTGGGACGTGCCAGGCCCTCCCACCTCCCAGGGTTCAGGGTTGATGGTCGAGCTCTGTGGTCAAGCTCAAGACGGACCTGGGCGAGTTACCGTTCGTAGCGTGCTTGGCCCAGGGCCCAGCAGGGCGTGAGTGCACGGTGAACTGTGGCTGCAGTTAGTCCCATTGCTGTTGGATTATCTGCTGCTAAAACGGGCCCTTGTGAGTGGCTTGCCTGTGGGCCTGACAAGTGCTTGAAGCAGGACCCATGGCCGAGGCCTCTGTCCCCCGTGGAGCAGCCAGGATGGTTGGTGGTGGGTGTGAAGTGTGTTCTGATTAAATATTTGTTCAAGTTCATTCAGGATTTCCAGAGATGATCAGCGTTGGGTTATATTCATTCTCTGTGACTATGCCGTATCATTTTGTGTAACAAAAACAGCAGCAGCTGTTAGGATGGCCAGCTTTTTGTGGAGGACCCCAGATGTAGTGTCTTTAAGTCGGGGGGAGGGGTACAAGGGGGGGTCAGTTTTTCCAGGGAAAGGTCCTCCAGTTCTGTGGGTTGAGACTGGCAGCCCCTGCTGGCGAGGACAGGGGAGCCGGCTGCGGCTCCATTCAGTGTGCAGACTCCCCCTTAACGTCCCCTTACTTCTGTGTTGGTTCTTCACCCCACTTCCTCCGGACTGCCACATCGAGGGGCCGCTTAGCTGCTGGCACCAACAGCCCGAAACCTCCTGCATCGTGAACACGGCCCAGGTGTACCCCTGGTGCTCCAGCGCCGAGCGAGCCCTGCCCCAGGTGGTCACCCAGGGTGTGGGCATCACGCCAGGTGTACCCCTGGTGCTCCAGCGCCGAGCGAGCCCTGCCCCAGGTGGTCCCCCAGGGCGCGGTCCCCCAGGGCGTGGGCATCTTCCCATCAGCAGCTCTGCCACCCACACCCTGTCTCACCTGGGGGTCCAGGAGAGAACAGGCCTCTGCTCCCTGCAGAGAGGGACCTGTCTCCGTGCACCCAGAATGCTGCTAACTATGCACCCCCCGTAGGAGGATGAGAAAGGGGCGGGTCAGGTGAGGAAGCCTGGTGGGGAAAGGGTGGGGTCTGCAGGACAGCTGCGGGCCAGGCCCGGAAGTGGTGGGGTCACTCCGCCCACAGTCCGTGCGGGAGCGCGTGCGGGTGGCGAGGGCTCGAAGCAGCAGCCTGGCCAGGGCCGGTCAGCTCTGCCCCTTCCCCGAGGGTGCCCGGAGGGGCCGAGGCAGCGCAGCGATGGCCCAGCGGCCTCCAGCGCCGGGCCCAGGCGCGCAGGGACGGGCTCCGCGGCTGCGCCCCGCGCCCCAGCAGAGCCGCGTCCCAGCAGAGCCCCGTCCGCAGGTGCAGCCGGCGCCATGGGCAAGCAGAACAGCAAGCTGCGGCCCGAGGTGCTGCAGGACCTGCGGGAGAACACGGAGTTCACGGACCACGAGCTGCAGGAGTGGTACAAGGGCTTCCTCAAGGACTGCCCCACCGGCCACCTGACCGTGGACGAGTTCAAGAAGATCTACGCCAACTTCTTCCCCTACGGCGACGCCTCCAAGTTCGCCGAGCACGTCTTCCGCACCTTCGACACCAACGGCGACGGCACCATCGACTTCCGGGAGTTCATCATCGCGCTGAGCGTCACGTCGCGGGGCAAGCTGGAGCAGAAGCTCAAGTGGGCCTTCAGCATGTACGACCTGGACGGCAACGGCTACATCAGCCGCAGCGAGATGCTGGAGATCGTGCAGGTAGGCGGCGGGCCGCTCAGGCCGCGGCTGTGCCCCCAAACCCAGTGCCCAAACCCTGGCGGCCTCCCCCGGGCACCGCAGATGGCTCCTCCCCGCCGGCAGGGACGCCCAGCTGCGACCCTTCTCCGGATGCACTGGTGTGTTGAGTGCCTCCCAGCCCACCAGAGACCTCGGAGGGTCTGGCCTAGCTCTGCACTCGGGCGGGTGCCAGCGCCGCCCAGGGGATGCCCTGGCCCAGGAGGATGCCCTCTGGGCAGACCGGCCCTGAAGTACACGCTGCCCGAGCCAAGGGCCAATGGGAGACGGTGAGAGGGAGGAAGAGCAGTAGATTCGAGGAACCTCACGTGGGCCCTTTCTGCTGGTGTTTGTTTTACTGCCCTGCTTTTATTTTTTATTTATTTATTTTTTTAAATCCTCACCCGAGGACATTTTTCCAGTTTTTGTTCAGATAGAGTGGGATGGAGAGAGAGAGAGAGAAACATCGACGTGAAGGGGACACATCGAGTGGCTGCCACCCACATGACCCAACCAGGGCCGGGGACAAACTGCAACCAAGGTACATGCCCTTAGTGGGAACCGAACCCGGGTCTCTCTGGACCATAGGCCAGTGCTCTACCGCTGAGCCAAACTGGCCAGGGCTACTGCCCTGCTTTTAACATGGAGCAGCGCTCAGACCCCGCCGTCCAGCTGTTCCGGGAGGGAGAGCCTCAGTCAGGCCATTTCTGAGACCCACTGTGGCCCTGCCCCTGCTCCTGGGGTGTGACTGATGACTGCTGGCCAGTGTGGCCTCATCACAGCCCCTCCACACACACACACACACACACACACACACACACACCACCACGCGGGGCACCTGCCCGGCGGGGACCCTCAGACCGAGCCCTCGGATGGCAGTGCCCGAGGAGAAGGTCCCTCCTGCTGGAGAGCCCTGTGCCCCGGGGCCTGCCCTGTCCAGGCTGGTCATGCGGCTCTCCCCACAGGTCTCGGGGCTGCCTTTCCTCCTGAACCCAGGTGCAGTGCGCAGTGAAAGGCGCATGGCTGAGCGTGTGTGTGCGCAGGGCTGTGCGTGTGCAGGGCTGAACGTATGCATGTGGGGCTGTGCATGTGCAGGGCTGGACGTGTGCATGTGGGGCTGTGCGCGTGTGGGGCTGTGCGCGTGCGGGGCTGTGCGTGTGCAGGGCTGAACGTGTGCATGTGGGGCTGTGCATGTGCAGGGCTGGACGTGTGCATGTGGGGCTGTGCGCGTGTGGGGCTGTGCGCGTGCGGGGCTGTGCGTGTGCAAGGCTGAACGTGTGCATGTGGGGCTGTGCATGTGCAGGGCTGAACGTGTGTATGTGGGGCTGTGCATGTGCAGGGCTGAATGTGTGCATGTGGGGCTGTGCATGTGCAGGGATGAGCGTGTGTGTGCGCGGGGCTGTGCGTGTGCAGGGCTGAACGTGTGCATGTGGGGCTGTGCGTGTGCAGGGCTGAACGTGTGCATGTGGGGCTGTGCATGTGCAGGGCTGGACGTGTGCATGTGGGGCTGTGCGTGTGCAGGGCTGAACGTGTGCATGTGGGGCTGTGCGTGTGCAGGGCTGGACGTGTGCATGTGGGGCTGTGCATGTGCAGGGCTGGACGTGTGCATGTGGGGCTGTGCGTGTGCAGGGCTGTGCGTGTGCAGGGCTGAACGTGTGCATGTGGGGCTGTGCGTATGCAGGGCTGAACGTGTGCATGTGGGGCTGTGCGCGTGTGGGGCTGTGCACGTGCGGGGCTGTGCATGTGCAGGGCTGAACGTGTGCATGTGGGGCTGTGCGTGTGCAGGGCTGAACGTGTGCATGTGGGGCTGTGCGTGTGCAGGGCTGTGCGTGTGCAGGGCTGAACGTGTGCATGTGGAGCTGTGCGCGTGCGGGGCTGTGCGTGTGCAGGGCTCAACGTGTGCATGTGGGGCTGTGCGTGTGCGGGGCTGTGCGTGTGCTGAGCGTGTGCGCGTGCGGGGCTGTGCACGTGTGGCCCCTCCTCGGACAGTGGAGTTGCTTTGCCTGCCCTCGGGCTTCCCACAATGTGTCTGGTTCCTTTGCCTTCTGTGACACTCACCCACCTTGTCAGGTGCACAGGGGACATTCCTCCAGCTGGGGAAGGGGCCTGAGGCCAGTGAGCATCCCACCTCCCTGTGCAGCGCTGTGGGCTGGACAGAACCTCACACCTGCCCCACCCACCCCAGAACGTTCTGGAATCTCTGAGCACAGCCTCCATGTGCCCCTTGCAGGCTATTTACAAAATGGTGTCCTCTGTGATGAAGATGCCCGAGGATGAGTCCACTCCGGAGAAGCGGACAGACAAGATCTTCAGGCAGATGGACACCAACAATGACGGTGGGTGCCGGGCCGCCTCCCCCGTGGGCAGCTCCTCAGGCCCCGCCCGCCGCCCCTCCTGTTGTGCACACAGCGAAATGCGCGGAGCGAGCGTGTGGCCTGCTGGGCCAGGGCCAGGGTCAGGGTCAGGGTCAGGGTCAGGAGACCCGGGGCGCCCTGGCTCCGTCCTCGCGCATGTCTCTGCAGCAGGACAGCAGCAGCCCTGTGGGCACGGCACAGGCCCTGGCAGAGGGTGGTGCCTTCGGGGGCCTCCCGACCTGAGCAGTACGGGGTGGCGGCGAAGTTCCACAGCCCCTCTGCGTCCCCGAAGGGACCGGAGCTCTCCCCCGGGGAGGGGGTGGCTGTTCCTTCCCTGCCCAATGCACCCCTTACCTGGGCATTGCTGTGTCTCCTGCGGGGCCAGCCTGCCTGTCCCCTGCTGGGGGCCCACAGGAGGGAGCCCCTCTCTGCTGGCGGGGGGGGGCCCTGCCCACAGGCCCATCATCCGCTGCCTGCTCCTGGCTCCCTGCAGAAGCTCGCTAGCTGGGAGTGTCCTCTGGGACGGGCCTAGGCTGAACCTCTCAAACGCCTTGTCCCTGTTTATCCCCCAGCAGCCCTTTGAGGTGGCTGTTCTGTGGTCCCACTAAGCACATGAAGTCCCTGGGTCGGGAGGATTTTGACACCTGGCACCCTGCCGTGCTCTGGGCATGGCTCCAAGCTCCCGCTGCCCCCAGTGGCCATCACTCCTGCCCCACAGCTGCATAGCCACAGGCAGAGTGGGTCACACCCAGGTGCTGCCCACGTCCACCCTGGCACGGGGACCGCTGGAGAGGGCGTGCATCACTGGCATTGCTTCCTCGGAAACTCGTTTCTGCAGCACCTTAGTTTTAAAAACCACTTTGCTATCTCCTGATCCTAGAAGTGATGGTCCACGGGGCAGGACGGAAGGCCCGAGGATGAGGGCAGTGCCAGCTGGACCCTCAGCGTGCCCAGGCCCTCCAGTCCCTGCCCACCCGAGGCACAGAGGGCGCAGGGACAGAGTGGGCTCCCAGCCGGCCCATGCTGCCACCAGTGGGCAGTGACCGAGGGGGCACTGGCTGCCCCGGGCCTCATCGGCCCTGGATTAGTTACGGATTAGAGGCCGAAGCCATGTTCCTTCTGGACAAGTCACCCTTTCTCCGGAGAAGCGTGGGGCGATGTCTAGGAGGATCTAAGTCGCCACCTGCGGCAGCGTGTGGTCACGCTGGGTGTGTCCTCGAGGTGTCGATGCCGGGCAGTGAGCAGAGAGCAAAGGGGTGTTTCCAGAAACGCCCACGAAGCAGGTGGTACCCAGACAGCACCCCGCCTCGTCCAGGCTCAGGAGGAGCTAGAGGGGTGCCCTGCGTGGGGGCTGTCCCCATGCCCCGGAGGGTAAAGAACAGGGAGCACCGCTGACTCCTGTCTCCTGTCCTCCTCCCACAGGCAAACTGTCCCTGGAAGAGTTCATCAAAGGTGCCAAGAGCGACCCCTCCATCGTCCGGTTGCTGCAGTGCGACCCCAGCAGCGCAAGTCAGTTCTGAGGGACCCGACGACTGGACAGTGACAGAGAAACAGGCTTGTCTTGCCGTTTAAGCTTTGCTTGCAACAGTGGATGCCTCGACCATTCCGCTCCCCCGGCGAGGACAGGTGGCACGTGGCACCTGTCCCGCCGGCAGCTGCACCTCCCCCTCTGCCTGGCCTCCTCCCACGCCTCCCGGTCCCGCCCAGGACGACTTCCGGGGTGTTACACGCAGGGCCCAGTGTTCTCGCTCCCAGGGCATGTCCCTGCCCCCAGGGAGCCCGGAGGACCCCATCGGGGACACTGGTGGGACTTTCCAAGACGGCGCCAGGGCCGGCTAATTTATTTCGTGAGTGCAGGTGCCCCGGGGGACGGCGAGGACAGGACGGAGGAGAGGGGCCGGCAGCCCTCCCTGCATGGCCCCACCTCGCTCGCTCGTTTTCTCTGACCAAAGCCACTCGCGTGTCCACATGCCGTGGTCCCCTTCCTTTTACTGTATAAATTATACGTCTGGTGATGTGAAGTGTCCGTGTAGGCCCCGTATTTAATGCCTCGACTGCCTCTGAAGCGTGGTTTCCTCGTGGCCTGTGATCCCTCCGAGCCTGGTTCTTTTGTGGTATTTATGCCCTCAATCTGCCCATTTCAGAAGGAAGTGCATGCGCGCCCGTTGCCATGGAGACCCTCGGGTCCACGTGGAGAACGCAGGCATCGTGAGGTGTGTCCGTTGATCGGTCCGGCATTTCCTGTATTAAAATGATCCAATAAACAGAAGTGTCTGAGTCGTGTGTGGGCCCGGGAGAGCCCCGTCCTGCTGCCCGCGGCCCTGGGCGCGCTCGGAAAAGGGGGGTTCGGTGGGTTCGGCTGCTGGTTGCAAACTCGGCCCCTCCTGGAGTGGTCCCCGGGTCTGTGGCCCTCGTCGGCCTGCTCTTCAGTGTCTCCCTGATGCCAGGAACGTGGACACAGAGGTGACTGCTCCCGGCAGGCGTGACTGGGGCACTACCTCCCCGCTCCCCCGCCCTGTGGTTTAATCAGCACGGTGCAGGACGGAGCGGGCATGGGGGCATCCGTGTGGACCCTGGGGGCAGAGATGCTTCTGGTCCCGGCAGCAGAAAGCCCAGCAGAAGGTGCTCCAGCCGTAAGGACGTTTGTCCCAGGGCAGCCTGCTGCAGACTTGGCTGACTCAGCAGCTCGGGGACCCCGGTTCCTTCTGCCCAGCCTCACAGCGGTCCCCACAGGGCTGTCGCCGTTGTGGGCAGCACGGCTGACGTGGGAGCGTTCTCCGCGCAGGAAGAGAAGCAGCCCTGTTTGCTGTTTTTCCTTGAGAACTTTCTAGAATTCTCCCTCCCCACCAGTCTCACTTCTCATTGGCCAAAACCCAGGCCAGGCCTTGGCCAGGAGCGTGAGCTGACCTGACTGGCCGGTCAAGATGCACCCTGGGCCCTGGCTGGTTTGGCTCAGCGGTTAAAGTGTTGGCCCACAAACCAGAGTCTTGGGTTCGATTCTGGTCAAGGGCACGTACCTCAGTTGTGGTTCGTCTCGGACCTGGTCAGAGTCGTGCGGGAGGCAACCAGTCGATGTGTCCCTCTCACATCGATGTTTCTCTCTCTCCCTCCCTCGCTCCCACTCTGTCTGATGATAAATAGAAAAATATCCTCAGGTGAGGATTTAAAAAAAACGATGCACCTTGGGCCAAGGATGGTGCCCTCCCCCACAGGGCGTGGCACTGGGAAAGGGGACAGGAGTGGGTTCTGTTTCCAAGAGGGTGGCACCTGCCCATGGGCCATGGGACCTCTCAGAGCCTCACCTGCAGAAGGGGCGTCACAGGAGGCCGGCCAGTGATCGAGGTGAGTGGGCCGAGCATGTAGCTCGCAGTCAGACTCATGGCAGGCTGTCAGGTGGTGGTGGTTTTGTTGATTTTAGTAATCTTTTTTTTCTTTTTTAATCCTCACCCGAGGACATTTTTCCACTTTTTGTTCAGGTAGAGTGGGAGGGAGAGAGAGGAAGGGAGAGAGAGAGAGAAACATCGACGTGAAGGGACACATCGAGTGGCTGCCACCCGCACGACCAGCCAGGGCCGGGGACAAACCGCAACCGAGGCACGTGCCCTTAGCGGGAACCGAACCCGGGTCTCTCCGGACCGCAGGCCGACGCTCTAACCGCTGAGCCAAACTGGCCAGGGTGGTTTTAGTAATCTTACCACCCTTTAAGCCTTCATGCTTCCAAATGGAAAGGACAAGCCCGTGTGGGGACCTTCGGAGCCAGCGGCGCCACCAGGAGCTGGTTGGCAGTGAAGCTCCCACAGCCTTGATGGGCAGCGCCATTGGGCGCGGGCTCGGAGGTGAGGCCAGGTGGCTTGGGGGTGGGCCGGTTTGCTACAAAGTGGCAAGATGGTGCCTTTGACACTGCGCGGCTGGAGGACACCCTCCCACTGAGGGGCTCGCGCTGGGGGCACGGAGCAGAGGAAAGAGGGTGCCGCAGGGGGCGCCGCCCAGCCCGCGCAGAGCAGGTGAGCCTGTGAGGGGCTCTCCAGGGAAACGGCCCGTGGGGTCTCTATGAGGGTGGGATAGTGGAGACGGTGAAGGAGCGGGTGAGCCTGGGTCTGGACGGAGCGTGGGCCCGGGACAGGGCCATGCAAGGCTCTGCCGGGGGCTGGAGGGCCCACGTGGTGAGTGTGGGGACCTGCTCGGGCGAAGAGTGGGGCTCTCCCCTCCACCAGCTGGGGACAGGCCTCCCTGGGGCCCAGAGCTGAGTGGGGCCATCTCCAAGGGCCCCCAGGCCACCTGCCCTGCATCCTGAATGGGCACACTGAGCCCGTCCTGGCCTTGGCCAGGGGAAGAACTGTCTCCTGCCTGAGAGCTGGGTGTGCCCACAGCTCGCGCACACGCTCTGTGCACACACGCTCTGTGCACACACGCTCTGTGCACACACGCGTGCCCTCTCAGCACTGCTGTCCTCCTCCCACAATGCTTTTCAGTTTGCATGGGCCTCCGTGGTGCCCGTGCTCCCCCTGCAGGTGACGAGGGACCAGAGGGAAAGGCACCTGCTCCAGCCAGGCCCCGCAGGGCTCACTCGGGTCCCAGGATGTCAGTGGCAGAATCAGAATGAGCCAGATCATCTGACATCCCCCCCCACCTGCCTCCCCGACAACACCCCTCTCACTGGGTGTGTGTATCGTGCATCTGTGTGGTCGTGTGTGTGTGTGTGTATGTGTGTGTTTCTGTAGGGTCTGTGTGTGTGTTTGAGGAGGGATGGGGGTGTGGTCCGTGGTTGAGTCTGCAGACTTGGCTCTGGGATGGGTCCAGTTTGAAGTGTGTCTGTCCTATGTGGGGGTGTCACAGACAGACATCCAGGCACATCCTGTGCAGAGATTCTGCATCAAGGGTCTGCAGCATCTGGCTGTGTTGGCAGGTGGGTGCTCCTGGGGACATGCAGGGGGCTGTCTTGACTGGCAGCCCTTGAAGCTCCGTCCAGGTGAGTAGGGTGAAGGAACCAAAGCCCATCTGCCCCAGGCTGTTAGCTGACCCAGCTCTGCTCCTGCCCCTGTCCCCAGTGGGGACAAGACAGTGGCCTCCATGAACTTCATCTCGTCCACACCAGGCTATTGGTCAATAAAATTATATAGGTTACAGGTGTACAACTCTATAATACATCACCTGTATATTGTGTTCACCACCCCAAGTCAAGTCTTCTTCCATCAACATTTATGCCCCTCTACCCTCTCTACCTCCTCACCCCTCTTTCCATGCCAGGCCATTCCTAAGACTGTGCCAAAGTCCCTTCCTCCAGAAGCTGCCCCACTGCTCCCGGGGTACTCCCTGCACCCCCCAGGCTTCCTCACTGGTGGTCCACTCACACTGGCCTTCACCCCGAGCCAGTGCCAGGCCCAGCTTAGAACGAGCTGCTCACTCAGCAGTGAGGGAGTGAATGAATGAATGAGTCGGCATGCCCCCCCCCCCCCGCCACACACACACACTGCCTGGAAATTTACCCACATGGGCCCTGGCATACAAGCCCCAGCTTGGCTACATGAACCTGGACAAGGCCTTCCCTGTCCCACCAGTAAGACAGGACTCAGCCGGGGGCGCTGACCTTGCATCGGCGGCAGAGGGAGGGACGCAGGGCCTTGGGGAGTGTGAAGCCCCCTCCGTGGGCCAGGATCTGCCCAGACTCTGCAGCTCAGAGCAAGTGCTGGGAGTGGCTCCTGGCTCCTCTAGATGTGGGGCCAGAGCCTGGACCGGGCACCCCTGCCGGCAGCCCCAGTGTGGGAAGGGCTGGGGCCAGGCACCCCCCCCCCCCCCGGGCAGCCCCAGTGTGGGAAGGGCTGGGACCAGGCACCCCCCCGGGCAGCCCCAGTGTGGGAAGGGCTGGGACCAGGCACCCTGCCGGGCAGCCCCAGTGTGGGAAGGGCTGGGATGGTGATGGAGCCATGCAGAGATGGGACCAGGCAACATGGGTACTGGTGGGTGGAGACAAGCACCTGGACCCTGGCTTCAGAGCCGGCTCTGGGTGGGGGGCGGGTGAAGGCAGCACCCTCTGCCCCACACAGCGCTCACCAGCTGCACAGCCAGGGCCAGGCAGGCTGTGAACAGAGCCCAGGACTCCGTGGGCACTTCAGGAGGTGACTGGGGGCATTACCCACTCCCAACAGGCAGGGGGCAGCAAGAAGACAGGATGCAGGGACCCACCCGCTGTTCACTGGGCATGAGGCAGCAAGACCAGGGCTGGGCTGGGGAGAGGGGCTTCCCATGTCGGGGCTCAGGAAGAGTTTCAGGGGGAGCAGCTTGGTTTGGGGACAAGGCTGCCTGGAGCCCCTTCCTCAAAGCCCTGGGTACCCTGATGTGGCTGGCCCTGCATCTCCCTCTGAGCAGGCCACACCCCCGTTGCCACAGCCCTCCTGTCATGATCGGCTCTGCCAGCACTTGCTGCGCGTCTGAGTGACCTGGCAACTTGGCCAGGGCACCGACCCGCAGAGGAGCCTCAAGCACTAGGTGCTGCTGCCCCCTGGTGGTTGTGTCCGGGAGCGCCCTCCCTGGCTTGGATGTCTGGATCCCTGCTGGGGCCTGAACTGCACAGGAGTTGCTGTCCTGTCCACTTGACAGACGTGGAGACCCAGGAGCACCTGACTTCTCGTGAGCCACCAGCCTGTGGCATCTGAGGCTGGGTTCCTGGTACCCTGGACTCAGAAGCCTCGTCAATAGGGCGCCCAGCCCTGGCCGGTTTGGCTCAGCGATTAGAGCATCGGCCTGCGGTCTGGAGAGACCCGGGTTCGGTTCCTGCTAAGGGCATGTACCTCGGTTGCAGTTTGTCCCCGGCCCTGGTTGGTCGTGCGGGTGGCAGCCACTCGATGTGTCCCTTTCACGTCGATGTTTCTCTCTCTCTCTCTCTCTCTCCCTCCCTCCCACTCTATCTGTGCAAAAAATGGAAAAATGTCCTCGGGTGAGGATAAAAAAAAAAAAATAGGGCGCCCAGTTTAATTTGAATTTCCGATAAACAACAAGTGATCTTGCAGCACTCGTGTCTCCTGCAGTATCTTACGAGCTGATTTGCTGGTAGCCCTGCCTGTCAAGCCATGGAGATGAGCCTGCACCGCCCCCAGGCAGGTCAGAAGCTGGAGGGGCAGCTCCTGGGCACCCCCAGGGCACATGGTCCTCCTGGTGGAACCACCGCTCATGCGCAGACTTGGACCCTCAGCCCAGCTCGGACCCCTAAGCTCGGCCCACTCGGAGGCCCTCAGACCTCCCTGCTCAGCCCTCACCC